GCATCCGCCCCAAGAAGAGAAATGGGAAAAGGAAAAAAAAAAGGGGGGGGGGGGGGGAATAAAAAAAAAACCAAACAAACAATAAGTCAAAACACAAATGGGTAAGACCATCATTCTGAAACCCAAGACCATCTGACTGACTCCAGTTCTTGGACCTGAGTATTTTCTGGGCATGAATTGTCTAACAGCTTTCACTAATGAATTCAGCAGGACTACACAAACCTACTCCAAAAGGATCAGGCTTTTCCATGCCTCAGGCCACAAATATTTTCTTATCACTGGCAGAAAGATCTGCTCTTCCTCCAGTGATAGAATTTAGGAACTTGTGTCTCTGAATCTGCAGCCAGGGAGAGCTTTAACTGATGTCTGGACCAGTAGTATTATCAGCTTTTATCAGAGGGTCATCCAGGTGACTCATATACATCTATATAGTAGAATAAAGAGAGCTACCCCAGGCCATTAAAACATACAATTAAATTTGGGTACAGTAGTGATAAAAAGAGGAGGAAATACTCTGAAGTTCATTAGATCTACTGAAACGTGAAGAGGTAAAGTGGCAGCGGAATACTTGAAGGTCAGTTTCTGATATAAAGGAGTTCATCCCCATCTACAAAGATACAGGGTTGCAGTTCATCAAGCCATCATCTGCAGAAGTATACAGCTGGAATGATGGCCCAAGCCATAAATAACCAGAGAGTGATTTCATATTTTATTTCTTGCTGGTTTGGATAGTCTACAAAGCTTCTGGGACTTTGAATTAAAAATGCAACAAATAAACAACGTTCTCTTGTACTATCACTGCCTAAGGAAAAGAAAATCATTTGCTAGTCTGAAGGCAAGCAGCTCAGCTGAGCTGCAAGAACAAAAATACCATTTTTTTAAAGTCTCAATCTTTCTTTTTATTTTCCATCATGCTCCCGTTTGAAGCGTTTGAAACTCTGGGGACTTGTCTACTTGCCTCAACATCTTCCATTTTTACCATGATCCCTTTAGCATCATTACTCCATAGTAGCCTGCATTTGCTTATCCAAAATCCCCCCGTAGCTCACACTTGCTTCTCTTCAAGGCATTTTACCCTCCCTGCAATTAGTAGGCACACTTCTTGTCCTTCAACACAAAACTGACAACAGAAATCTCCATGTGCAAGGTTTGGCTTTCTCTTGAGGTGAATGAAGAAGAAAAAGGGGGTTTGGGGAACAGCAGCAGTAGGTTAAAATCCCACCAAATGCATTTCAGAGGAGAGTTTTTGTGGATTTTTTCTACTGTGTTGTTGTTTTAATGGATGTCAGATGTATGCAGAGCCATGGATGTTTATTGTTTCTACATTACTGTAAAATGAATATAATAGTAACAACAATAATAATAATACATCCCATTCAAACTTTAATTAGCAAATACACCTTCTGTCTGTTGTTTAATCTGTTTAATTTTTCTCATCTTCCAGCACTAATATTCACTCTGCAGTTGAATTACACCTCTTCATAAAAACATTACACAGATATACTCTGAGTAAAAGACTATTCAAAATAACAAACTCTTAACACAAAGGCACAGGCACTTGCAGATGTGCTATGCAACACACTACACTTGCTCTTCTAAGTATAGACTGAGTTTCAGGACTGGTTTAACTGACGCTTTAGCAACCTCTAAGTGTGAGGACATGACATCACAACCTTTTTTTGGAAGAGTTCAAAGCAACAATAAACAGAACACAATATTCTGCTGGCACAGTTGTTCTAGAAATAAACACATTCTGCTCCCCCTCCACCAAAAAACCACACAAAGCTGCTCAGCTTAGTTGATACTTGGTTAAGTTGGCAGTGGAGCTTGTTCCAAACACAACTTTCCATGAAGCGATTACTATTTAAGTGTGCACTTCCTCTGGCTCACTGTCTGCTACAATTATGCAAATACGATGCAACTTTATCTTTTCAGCATAATTACATCAAACACAATCGGGCTATATTAAGACTGACTTAAGATGAACGAATTCAGTTCATGTAATGATTTCCTAAATCACCCCATGGGACTATGGCAAAGAAAATTTTGTCCCAAGAGCAACATGAAGCATCAAGACAAATAATCTGGGGTCTGGTTCTACAAGAAACTGAGCACTTCAGAGTCCCTCTGGAGTTGAAAACTGCTAGGGTATTCCAGCTGTTCTGAAAACAGGAACTTCAAATTATATTTATGTAGATAGGTCTAAACACACCAACACACCTGTGTTTCACATCTGTATTTTAAAGAGTCATGGCTGGGGGAGAAGAGAAATTTGAAAAATGCCTTTTTCTATATAATGACTGCTTTAGTTTATGACTTACAGGACTAGCAGCTTTAGGCACATTAAAAAATGTGATAATCCAAAGTGTACCATATACTCTTGAACATGCAGACACATTAATTTTCAATGCAATTTAACAATTCTTGGCTTAACATTTTTCCCCTGAAGCGTAAGAAGAGACTGTCAGTGTCACATATTTCAGGTTAAGGTATGGGAGCTGCAGAGCTCTCTATTTCCAGTGAGGTTTGTTAGGAATCTTTCCTTAACATATTACAAATACTATTTAACACAATGATAAAAGGAAAAAAAAACAAAAAAAGATACTCTTGAAGAGTAAAATAAGGGTAACCCCCTCATTCATGACTAATAAAGAAACTCTCCCCTAACCCAGTGGCCTTTAAGCAGGTGCTTAAATGTTGCCACACCACAGCACAGAAGGAGACTGCTAAGCTGCAATACAGCTCGAAACACAGTCCTTTGGGGCAAACTTAGATCCATTCTGGTAATTTGGTTTGTTTCCATCAATTTATAGGGAAAATCAAGGCTTCTTATTTAATTTATGCCTTCATCAAAAGAAACACATTGATAAATTTTAGGAAGCAGATGTTCACTGCTGGATGATAAAAGAATAACACTAAAATGTCCATTTCCAGTTCTCTTGGAGTCACAACCAAATGAAATTACTACAACAGAAAGAAAAACCAACATACAGCAGTCTAAATGCAAGAAAGGCAGGCAATCCATATGGATAACAGCCTCCCTAAGCAAAGAAATGCTAATACCTAAGGATTACTTACTTCTATACGTAACAGATTTCACCGGATGTTTCTCTTAGTGGATGAAACAGAAATCAGTCTGAAAGGGGAAATGCTGAGTTCTGGAATACTGTTTCAGGAGAATGGGAATTTACTCTATTCTCTTAACCATCACTTTACTCTTCCTCCAGACAGGACTAAGCAGATGGCAGATACAGATGGCAATTAGGGATGGATGAACGGGACTGAAAAAGGTAAGAACCAGCCTGAACCTTTCTGAGCAGTCACAGAGCAGCCAGAAAACATTTGCTACAGACAGAGCAGCTGCTATTCTGGGACACTTTGCTCTGCCTCTCCTTTAACACCAAGTACAGAACCTACTCCTGGTTGAGTGTTGTTTCCTTTCGATGCAACTCATGGACCTCAAAGTCTGGATCTGCTGCGCGGCAGCTGCTCCTAAGAGTGAACACAATTATATACATAGACAAAATGTAGTTTAAGCATCACAAACAAGTAATCATGCAATCTAGAAGTGCAAAAAGGAACTAGCCAACTTTCAGGCAACAATCTAATATATTCACTGAATAAGAAGATATTTGCAGGCTTAATGGACATAAATTTTTTTTTTTTTTTGCAGATACACTAAAACCACTGATATTTGTACCTGTTATTTATCCAACTTTCTATACCTGAACTTTCCATTCTGCAATCATAACTTACTGTGTCTAAAAGCAAACCTTATATTTCCCATTATGTCCTATGTGCTTAATGTGTAATATAGAAGGAAAATATTTTTAACAAACTTGGAAAGTTTTTATTTCTGTGTACTGTTGGCAGACTTTTCATTTCTGTGTCAGAAACCCTCAGGGGTGAAAACAGACAGTATGAAAAGATTATTAAAATGTCCTGGTTTTCAGAAAGAAAACACCTCATTGTCTATCAACTGTACATATTTATGGAGAAATAACACGCTAAAATGCCTCTAAGGTTTAAAAAATGTAAAAGGATGGAGCATATTATATACCTGAGAAGAATAAGTGATGAGGTGGTAGTGTAGACACAGTGAAAATGAATGTAAATATTTGGATTTTCAGTGAGTGAAGACAACAGAACCTCTTTTAATGAGGGCAACATGCTCAAGGACTCCTTGGAGACCCCGCCTGACGCAATGCCATGTGCCAGCCAAGGAGTTTCTTTTCTTAACTCACTATGTCCCTTGTAAAGAGCTTTTTTTGTTATATTATAGAGAAAACAGAGTCTAACTGACAAGTTTGGTTTGCCCAGAGGAAGCCATTTGGATAGTTAAGCATCTGTACAGTTAAAATGGGTAATAAATGGAAGTAAGATCTGACCATAAACACTTCAGAACAAAAAGAACTGTTGAGAAACAAAGGGACTACATAAAAAGTTTCCCACAATTTTTATATACACATACATACGTACATGTATTTGTGGAACACACAAGCAATATGTATAAATATAGAGTTTGATCTAAATGAAACAGAAGTTAAGCTAAGTTCAAATTGAAACTGCTGTTTTAAAATCAATTTTTACCTTTTCAGTAGAAAACTTATCCACTGCTTCAGAAATGATACATAAATTGCAAAAGATTTTTTATTTCTTATATATACATGATGTGTGAAGATCATTTTGGTTTACTTTCAAGTGATAAAAGCCCTGTCATATCACCACAGTTTAATATAAGCTCTGCAATTGTGCCTTTAATAACTGTTGGTAGCTTCTCGACTGTGGAAATAATGTATAGGTTTTGTATGAGGAACACAGGCATTTAGGAAAATTTCAGGAGATGAAGACTTACTTAATGTACTTTATATTCTTTGTATCATACCAAGTCTGTACACATTTACTCATAAAACACATGAAAGAAAGAATTACAGGTGATCAGTTTTGTACCAGCAGCATTTCAGGAAGCAGGAGGGAGTGAAGCATAAGAGAGCTCTTACCCTCTATGGTCGCTCGCTTGGGCAGGATGGTTATGGCTCCCTCGGCAACATCCTCCTGATGAAGCAACGGGCTCACCTTGGAGCCCCACGTGTCTGAGCCCACCCACAGGAAATGACCAACTTGATCTGCCCTCTTTGCAGCGGCAAGGATCTGCCTGCAGAAAAGAACATTATGTTCACAAATTAATTTCATTTAAATACATAATTGCTTGGGGAAAATGGCAAGTTGCAACTGCGGAATGAACAGAAATAGCATACTGCTGTAACCAACAGAGCACAGGAATTTCACAACACACCAGACCACGACCCACACAGCACAGATTGGACCCCTCTTTTAATTCCTCCTATTCCCATGACTGACATACTGATTCCACTAAAAATTATTTTGCCATCAACTTTACTGAAACATTATCCTAACTTGGTGTCTCGTTTTGTGGAACTGAACCTCTCACCAATTGACAATGCCAACACAATTTTCAGGAGAGACAATATGGAACACAGGCATGTGAGAAATGAGAGTCACACTTTTGAATACTCTTTATACTATCTTATGAGCAAGTTGTATCTGGCCAAACTTTGAGCACCTTATGTGGTTTAATCTTGTGCATCCATTTTATCACTAGTAACCATCAACTGTCATAAAACAGGCTCTGAATTAATTAATGCTACATCATAGTATAAGCTTGGAGAGAGGAGCATCTTCTTAATGCCGCTTTGAGAGGTAAGGGCAGTTCTGCCATCCATTGCATGAGTAACCCTGCACCAGGGATAGCTTCCAGACCCTGATTAACATTCCCGTCCACCCACTACTGCGATGCACAACATGAGCAGGGCAGCAGCAGCAGAACTCAGTGTCTGGCACTACCCTCCACAGTGTGAACTCCACATCCCCAACATTGCTCTTACCAACAGGCATTTCCACTTCATTATTCATAGCTCTATTTGGTTTCTCTTTTCTGCATAGCTATCAAGCACAAATGAATTAATTCCCTCAGTCATCCTTACTTTATGTCCTCATCATTGGCAAAAATAACGATGGCCCTGGCATTGGGAGTTTCTAGGAGCTGCTTGATAATTTTATCAAAGTCGATGGTCTTGTCCTTGCGATCCTGGGGGATTTTCAGGGACTGAGCAATGCAGAGCCCACCTGTTTCAGAAAGAAGAAAGGAGAAAGAAGAAAAGGACTAAGTCAGAGGAAAGTATAGGAAAGGCAGTGGGAAATACACATGGCTGGAAGGGGAGCCTGGGACGAAGAGAAACTCTCCGATCGAATCGCTGCCCTTACGGAGCACTTAATCTTCTTGTCAAGTTTCCTGAGGGATTTGTACAATTATTTTTTTGCACAGAGCACTCGTTGTGATACAGTCTGCATGCCTGGGTAGGGTCAGGGATTAAACAGATGGGAAAAACCAATATCATAGAATAGCAGAATAAACAAATAAACCAGTCAGTGGAGGGATTCAAATAAACCCCAACAAACAACAATCCGAGCACAGTTAAACTGATTTTAAAAAGAACAACAATATGCTGAAAGGCAAGTGATGCTGACAATGCATTAGACAAACATCATCTTGGTGAAGAGCTAAGATTCTTTTTAATTTAGCAAGTTTAAGGATACTGAGGGAAAATGTTTTCACTGAAGCAACTTATCTGGAGCTGCCTGGAACATCACAGCTCCTTTCCTTGCACCCAGAAACTTTGACAATGTAATAGACAAGCTTTATCTGGGTAAAAAGCTGAGATTCTTTTTCATTTTGCAAGTTGAACGATATTGAGAGAAAACGTTTCCATTGAAGCAACTTATCTGGCACAGGAACAGCAAAGGAGTTGAGATATTGGCAAAGCATATTAGAAATTTGCTCAAGAAAATCCTTGCTGAAATGCCCATCACAAATGGGATGGAGTAGCCCAAGCAATTGAAGCCTCAAAGAAAGTTCTTGTCTGTGAACTGGACTTCTCATAAATACACAGGTAACATGGCAAAAATAGTATCAACACAGTAACAATGATAAATACATCCATGCCAAACACTCACTTTTAGCACAGTTCACATACTCTAGTTATACAGCTTGTCTTTAGGGGGAAAAAAAGCCCTGAAAAAAACACATCTCCAGTGACATTCTGCTTGTCATTGGCAGATGAAAACACAACTTTTGCCTTCATTATGTTGTTTCTTAGTGATAAATACTTTCATCTTTTATGGCATCTTAGCTACCAACTTCCTCGGTATACTGCACACTGTGTTAATTAATAAAGTATCAGAGATGCATAATAAGAAAGAGCAGCGGGGATGGGTTAATTAAAAGACAGCAGGACAAAGGAGATGTTCACAGACATGTTTTAAAATACAGATTTAAAAGTACTCTTGAACGAAGTAATAGATAAGGTGTTCTCAGGGATAGAATACAGAGGAGGCAGCTTATCCCCCACAAGCATATACTGTCTGCTGCAGTCTACTGAAGGCTAATGCAGTCACCCTACACCGTGGCACAGCAGACATGCAAACACCTGCACAAAAACCACTGAACAGCCAGGCAGGCCAAATGCATAGCTTTAAAATTGCAACAGGTGGCTCTTCTGCAGAGCTCCAAGCACTTTAGGTCAGGATTATTAGATAGGACAAGGGGTGATGGGTTTAAATTAAAAGAGGGGAGGGTTCAGCCTGGACGTGAGGAAGAAATCCTTTACAATGAGAAGGTAAAATACTGGCACAGGTTGCCCAGAGAGGTGGTAGATCCCTGGAGACACTGAAGGCCCGGCTGGATGTGATTCTGGGCAACCTCATCTAGTCGAAGATGTCCCTGCCCACTGAAGGGGTGTTGGAGTAGATGACCTTTGAAGGTCCCTTCCAACCCAAACTATTCTATGATTCCATGATTCTATTCTATGATAATTTTTTCCTTACTTTAGACATAAAGATTGGTTTCAATGGGAAGAAATAAAATGGTGAAAAGTAAAGGCTGAGAAAGAACGGAATAATTACCCCCAAGTTTTTTGCTGACTAACACAGAATATTTAATTTTGTTTTGCAATTATTACAACCTGAAATTATTGCAACCTGAGTTTTTTTCTTTAAAAGAAAACAATACTGATTTTTAAAAGTAAAATTCATTTTTAAATGAGGAAAGTAAGTCTCACGCTTAGTAGGTTCAAAAAGCTTTAACATTTTAATATGCTCAGTCAAAATTAGACAGAATCAATCCAAATCCATGAGCAGAGTTATTCTGGTTGATTATGTGCTGGTGAAAAGCACAGCTCTGGTTCTGAGTCCACAAGCAGGGCCACAGCGCTTTTCAAGTGCAGGGCACTGCAGACCAGCGGGAAACAGGATGAGACATCCACACATGTCTGTTGGGGAAGAATCTCTCCATCCTGGCATCAAACCCCAGGACAGTTTGAAGTTATCAGCTACTCCTGTCCTCCCTGGTGCTCCATGATGCCAAGCCAAGCTACTTCAAGTCTCCCAGGAGAGACTCCTTGTTAAATAAGGACATGGCAACTTTGGAGAATTCACTGAGAGAGAAAACAAAACCCCAAACAAACCAACCCACAGACTGTTACAAAGCTCCAAGACTTGTCACTTGAAAATTTATGCATTCCTTCCGTGGCATCCTTTCAAGAGGCTCCCACTTTGACACAGCAGAGCAGGACAGGATATATTTTCTAGTGTCAACACCAAAGGACTTTCTCCTGCTGGATGGAGCCATTATTTTGACGCATCTAAAGCTGCTGTGAAGGTCCTTTGCAATCCTTCATAGATCTCCCTTGTTTTCATTCAGAAAAAGCGGGCTCTCTCAGGAGAGGATTGGCAATACAGTCCCAAAGAGCAGGTACCAGCAGACAGGTACACAGAGCAACATTCCCCAGCACCTTCTGATTTCTAATTACTGCACCAGCAAGTAGATTTAAGAGTCTTTTAAATGAGGAGCAAAGAACACTTACAGATGCTTATCCCTGCATACCATGGCTCCACCACAAGAACAAACACCCCATCAGGCATTTGGAGAGAAACAGAAGCGAAACGGTCTCAGACCTGGCACCCATAATAGTCATATTTCTGTACTTGAGAGTCTACCTGTATTAAAGAATCCTTTTATCCACAGGGAGAAAAAGAACACACACACATACAGATCAGGTGATACATTGCTGTTGTAAAACTACTATTAAAAACCCCACAGTATTTAATATTAAGTAATTGTGACATAGATGATTCAAGTGCTTGGAAAAAAGGCTAAAATTGTTGGGAAGGCTGATAGCTCAGCAACTGACCCTGACCATAATTACACCTATTGTGTGGGTCATGCAATCTCTACTGCCTGGATGGAGAAGCCAAAAATCTTATTATAGTCGATAATGATTACAGCTGAACTGAGCATCTTTGGACAGAGAGGCAGCTGTGGCCAGGCTCTCAATAGTGAGGAAAAAAAAGCCTCTAATGCAATGTACAGCTTCAAAGTCTGTAATTTCCATGTGTTTTTTTGAAGAAAAGAGGTGCCATGGTGGAGAAAGGAAACAGTTTGGAATTCGGGAGGGCAGATTTCAGGTCATTTTTGTGATACCCTTTTCTACCTCCTTCAGGGGGTCAGCTCTTAGTTCTTCTGCTGTCCACTGGTGAAGGGAAGCAACTTTTTAAATGTGCTGATTATGGTAAGTATGTACTGGTCACACACTCTGCATTTAGCCCAAGCTAGATGGAGAACGGATCTTACAGCCAGGATGGTAGAAGAGCTTTTCCAAATAGAGCAGATGATGTTATACCCTGTTATTCTTTGTGCCATCTCTGGCACAAGGGAATTATGGATAAATGGTAAATATCAATGATTAAACCCAAAAATATTTTTATCTGCAGAAAAGTGGCTATGATACTTTCAATATATCAAGCAGCAGGAGACACCAGCATTCAAAAGCACTCTCTGGAGCAGTTAGGAACAGAAACAGCTAGAGGCAGATCAAGGGCAAATAAAAATGGAGAGAAGTAAGATACGAGAGGACCAAGATCCAGATGACACAATTCAGACACATTGATGGATATTCTGATTTTAAACTGCTAGTGTCTCTTCCAAGAAAGTGATGCTATTACAAATGGATTAATATGTCACCAAAATGGGTCAACATGTATTATTTTCTTATTTGCTTTGTTTTGCTCAAGTCCACACCAAGCATTATTTGACATCAGAGTATAAGCTCTCACTGCAGCAGCAGGGTGATCCATTCCAGCCACCTGACTATACTAGTCACATCAGCTCCTGGTTACAGCTGAGCCTATGTGCTTGAACAAAAGTGCTTCAATCTCTGCGGAGGACCTCATGGCAGGCAGAGGCATGTGTCATTTTTCATTCCTCAGCCATAAGAGATGCCCAAGGAATTGGGTGTATATTGTCACATACAGAATAAGTTTAACTTTCATATTCCCCTCCTGCATTCTTATTACAATAGGAAACATGTGCACAGTTATTTAAACAGTCAGGTTCATTCACAGTGCTCCCGAGGTAAAAACCTCTAAGGGAATTACGTGGCAAAAATGTGAAAGCTGCAAATTAAAGATTTGTCATAGGATTTCTGCAACAATAAATTACCCCTGACGGACTAGAGACGTGGCAAATGCTGTAACTAGCTACAGATTGCTACAACAGTTAACGGCAGTCTGGGAGTGGAACCCATGCTTCACCCTATGCCTGAGGTGGGGCTGCTCCACACACACCCAGCAGCAGCATGGCACCAGGAGTGTCCCAGCCATCCTGGACTCCTTCCACCAGCAGCACCATGTTTCAAAACAGCTGCCTAGAGAGGGTTCTCCTTGTCTGCTAGGGTTATTTCTGCCCAGTGAGGGAACAGAACAGGTAACTAATTCTGTAATCGAGTCCAAAAGCCATTATGAAGGTAATGGATATTGGAGATGAATAAAAGAGATGTGAACTGTAATATACATAAAATACACCATTCAAGCAATTCTGTGAGCAAATGTTTAACTCCTTTAACAACAGGGATTTTATAAATTCACGGGAATCAGCATTGGAAACTGGTCAAAACAATGATGGTGAGCCAGTCAGTTCTGTACCCCTTTAGCCTTAAAAAAATATCCTTTCTCTTCTAGGCTATGAATAGCTGTTTAACAATGACATCTTTATCATCCTTCCCTCCCGCCAG